AGCACAGGCCAAGGGATCAGGTGAAAATTCCTTGAGTGCAGAAACACTTGACAGTAAAGAGAGCATGCTGACCAGATTTAGAAGCTGTGATGAGTGCAAGGAGAATGAAGAGATGTAGTCAGATCTCAGAATTTCCCACTACTAGACAAATATATGACAGTTTATTTACAAAACCACAATGGTATGACTGGAGACAACAATGTAGACTGTAAAGTGGCATTATCATTTAAAATGAAATTTATCCTGTAAACCCAGACCTAGGGAGGCAGAGGAAGGCAGGAACTATGTGAGTTCAAGTCTAGCCCAGTCTAACCAGTCAGGGCAATAAAAAGAGAATCTGCCTTAAAAGAAAAGGCGGGACACACACTCACACACACACACACACACACACACACACACACACACCACACGGCACTTGGCATAGAATTCTGACCCTTGCATTTAGAATTTGGAATGGTCAAGAATGAACTCATTTAAGTTCAGCTGAAGAAGCCTAAGCACCAGTCTGGGGGAGTGAGGGAATGACACCAAAAGATATTTAAACAATCTGTAAGATTCACCTAGGAAGGCCATAGCCTCCCTCTTAATTCACTCAGAAAAAAAAAAATATATATATATATATATGTGTGTGTGTGTGTGTGTGTGTGTGTGTGTGTGTGTGTTGGACAGCGGAGACTAGGTAGGTAGAAAATTGGAAATTAGCTCCTTTATCTTTGTGCATACACAGAGTTTGGGCCAGGCAACTTACAGAAACAGATACCAGTTGACTAGCATCTATGAGGTCAAGGAATAAGAGCAGACTGTCCCATTAATAATGATTAGTGAGGGGACTTGCATGTGAGATGGGCTTGTTCCCTAACTTGAACTAATAAATAAATTAAATAAAAAAAGAAAAAAAGAAAGGCAAAAAAAATGATTAGTGACTGTGAGGTGACTCAGATGGTAAAGGCATATGCCACCAAACCCAATGATGGAACCACATGGCATACAAGGTAAGAGGAGAAAACTGATTCCTATGACTTATTCTCTTACCTTCATGCGTCCCTCTCACACATACACAAATTAACTAACTACGATTTTTATAAAAGATTACAAGAGTGTGTATGATAGCAGATGTGTTGAATGGTTCAGGGGCCAGCATGTGTACTAAGGCCCATGTGTCTACATAGTGTAGGATCCAAACAGTATGGAGCAAGAATCTGTCTTGATGTGCTCAGAATCTGCCCCCAATGATGACTGAGGAAACAGTAGAACAAAGGTCTCATCATCTTTTGTTTCAATGTATCAATCAAAGAGCCTGAGACCTGGAATAAATAAGGAGGGAAAACCCAGTGGACATTCTTTGCAAAGGAAACTTACAAAATTATTTTATTTTGTGTGTATGTGTTTTGCCTGCATGGATGTCAGTGTACCATATGCCTTCAGTCCCCACAAAAGACAGGAACTGGAGCTAAAGGTTGTGAACTGCCATGTGAGTGCTGGGAATCAAACCTAGGTACAGTGGATGAACAGCCTGTTCTCTTAATCACTGTGCCATCTCGCCATCTCTCCAGCCACTACAAAATACCTTTTAAAGAAAGGGGACTTTTGGGAATGTGTCACGTGTGAAGACAGATCTCATTATCATAGAGATATTCTGACTCGTAAGGGAAAAAGAAAAGAAATGGAACCATAGGAAGAGAGTAAGGCATAGGAGGCACATCACAAACCTGTAAGGTAGAGAGAAAGGGCACCAAGAGAGGTACTTGTACCAGGAGTTGAGTATGTCAGAATAATTTGAATGCCCGGAAAATCTCCTTAGCAAGGGGAAGAATGAAGTATGTAATGTACTGAGTGTCCAGGCAGGAAAGGGATAGGAAACATGCTAGCAGCCAAAACAAAAGGATATAATGACTCCAACAGTGACTATATATTTTTCAACTCCTCTTTGACTCTTCATTTTCACTTAGTCAAAACCCTTTTTATATAAATGTCCAGGCCTCCCGACCCCAGAAGAAAAAAGCAAGAACATACAAAAGTAAAGGACAAGAGATTAAATAGAACTATCTGATAGATTTATTAATGAAAAATACTTTACAAAAACAGTAATGCTTTGCCCTAAAATAGTTTAGCTGACTCTGAGAGTTTACAACAGTGACTGAGCAAGTGAGAGTAATGGCTCTGCTGCTGAGGATGGGAGGATGTGTTAGTAAGCCCAGCTCCATCTGTTCAGAAGGGCAAATACTATATTGGCAGCTCCACATTCTAGGCCTAAAGTTTGAGTCACAAGGAAGTCTGACAGCCATAATACTTGGCAGTTGGGCTTCCCATAAGAATTCGGTCAGAATCCTATGCCAGGTAATAACTAAATAGTAGAAGTAGAGAATATAGTAGGGACCAAAAGATGAGGGCTCAGCTGGAGATGGGGGCATAACAGTAACCAAGAATAAAACAATGTCTTAAAACACTAGGAATAGATAGTGTCCAGAGTAATAAAATGGGTTCAACTTTGAAGTGGCTCAAATAAAGCTCTAAGCATGAGCTGCTTCCTTTTGCTGGAGGAGCCAAAGTTTAAGTTTTCTTTTTTTTTTCCCTCTATAGGGTCTAACTGCCTAGAACTTGCTATGTAGCCAAGGATGAACCTGAACTTCTGATCCTCCTGCCTCCATCTCTCAAGTGTTAGGATTACAAGTGTGCACCCCCATGCCCAGTTTTACATGGTGCTAAGGATCTAACCCTGGGCTTTGTGCATGTTAGGAAAACAATCTACCAACTGAGCTACAGTCCCAACTCTAAAGCTGGAATTTCAAATATTCCCTCTCAAAGAAGCAAACACCCTTAGAAAAAAGCCAACAATTCTTCTGTTGTGGTGGTTCTGTTTTGTAAAGCACAGTCTCTTCTAGCCCAGAGTCTCTGGCCTGGAACTGCTGATTCTCCTGCCTCTACCTCCCAACTGCAGGGATTACAAGCATGTGGACTGAAACTGCCAATTCTACATTGAGATGATTATAGCATAACTGAATGCAAGGTATCAACTCTGCTACAGTAGGTTTATAGAGAAAGGTGTCACTCCAGGAAAAGCTAGGGATGATCCTTACCACCTGCTGTGCTATAAAAATCTCACCCTATTCTGTTCTCTTCCAGGAGCATTGGATAGAATAAACATAATTCTCTCCTCTCCAGTCCTCCTATGCCTAAACTGGGAGGGATAACTGCCCTGTCTCCAGTCATCATCTGGGGGCATATCTATTCTTCGAGGGCCAGGTGTTCGGGACCCCAGAACAGGACCTGAATTCCAAGCTGACCCAAGGGGTAAATGAAGACTGCTAGATGGTGGGGACACTGGGTGAACAGGAGGAGGATGGGAGGGTGAATGGACAAGACCCCCCCAGGACTGAGCATGTGGGACCTGGAGGCCCTGGCTTCGTTCTGGTAGTGTGGCAGTGTAGGTTAGGTGAGGCTTGCATGCTGGCATAGTTAGGACTCTGGTCCCAACATGCTGGTTGGTCTCTGACCCCAGTCCCCAGGAAGCATCAGTTCTTGAACGATGGGGTAGACTTCGGTAGTTCAAAGTCCTTCCTGTGTACTTGACCCCTTGGGGAGTTTCATCCCTGTCACACATAGCCAGAAACTGCTGGACACCCCTCGAAGTTCCTGAGAAGAGAAAAGAAACCCAAAGACTCAGTGAGTATCTTTAGAAAACAATTCTCCTTCCCCTAGGCCCATTCCTGACTATTTTGCCCAACTCTTTACTTGTCCAAGAATACACACACAGGGGAAAAAAGAAACCTAACCCAGGGCCTTGTACATGCTAGGCAAGCACTCTACCATTGAGCTGTACACCTTAGCCCTAAAAACTCCTATATATTACATCAAAATCAGTCTCTTCCATTTGGGAGAAATGAAACAGTCTCTTGCCTATTGCCATACCTACCTCCCCAGTAATCATTCTCTAACACATTCAAGCACACATATGTATAAATGCATGTACAAGAGTGGCTACTTAATAGAACAAATATATCCCCCTTGCAAACTCCTACAGCAATTACAATAAAATTTTCTTTCCTTTTTTAAAGGTAGAGGTGTGTGTGTGTGTGTGTGTGTGTGTGTGTGTGTGTGTGTGTGTGTGTGTGTGTGTATTTCTCTGTGTAGCCTTGATGTTCTGTAACTTTTTCTAGACCAGACTGGCCTCAAACTCACAGATAGCCACCTGCCTCTGTGCTGGGATTAAAGGCATGTCTCACCACTGCCTAGCTTTTTTTGTTGTTGTTGTTTTCTTCTCTCTTTCACTTGGCTTTTCTTAGCAGTTAGGTGGCCTCTACTTAACTCCTTGCTGTATTTCTGAGTTCTTTGCTTTTGTTCATACCACTCTTCCTTCATATACAATATAGAAAGTCTTTTTTGTACATTTCTTTCACTGTGGCATTTGTGACATTGTGGGCTGATAATTCTTTATTGGGATTAGAAGAGACTGCCCTGTGCACTCTATGATGTTTCCAATCATCTGTATACAATACCCATTAATTAAGTGCCAAGTAGTAAGTCCTCTCCCCTATTGAGAACCACAGACTTAAAATGTAAGTTAAACCCATGAGGAGGAAAAAGAGTACATCTTTCTAAGGAGGTCAATGAAAACCAGAATGTTGCTGCCTATCTTTCTCTGGATCATCCGGATCTGTATATATGACATGGGTTCTCAAGGAACAGTGTCTTTCCAGTCTTCCATTCATTTTATCCTCCCACAACATCCCTCAGTTGAAACTCAATAAATAGTAGGGAGAAAACTAGCTGAAAGAGATGACACTTTCATTTTGGAGTTGGATCCCAATGACTCATATACACTTCACCACTTAAAACCTCATACCTTCCTGACTGAAACAATTCAGTTCACTATCATGAATGAAGCATGATGTCTAAAAAGTTATTCAGTCATACTTCAGGAAGATCAGTGCTTGATCTTAAAACAGTAATTCATATACTTATTCCATTCCACCTTGGGACACCCCACTTTCCCCAGTGGGTATACTAATTTGACCCTGAAAAAGAATCACATTTTAGCAGATAATATTAGTTTGGGGTGTTACCTGGGGATCTATAGGGCTCCCCTGCCACGCTGGGCATCAGAACATCAGGGGGCAGGAACTGTGGCTGGGGAGGGTAGAGTTTAGGATCAAGGAGCAATACAGGAGGGTCATGGATGACAGGGAGGGAGGAGGAGCTGGAACAATGGTGCCCGGTTTCCAAAGTCTTTTTCCTCAAGTTTGATGAATCCTTTTAATGAGACAAGACAAAAAACAAGAACAGAAAAAAAAAAAGCACACAAAGATGAGGATTAACATGGTAGGATGTGGTTGGATAAACACAGTGAAGCACGCAGGGGGAATGGAAGAAACTAGAGTACAGCACACTTTTTCTAGAAAGGGACTCACATGACTCCACTATACTATCTGTCGGTCTCCCTGGGAAATGCCTAAAATCCTCTCCTTCTACCATTTTCATCACATCTTCTACCTTCCTAGGCCACCATCTGGGTCTTTAGCAATCTCTTTAATGCTAACAGTGCAATTAAAGAAATAGAAATTGAAATAGAAATTTGAAAATAGGAGCTGAGAGTTAGGCATGTTTATACATGCACACCTATAATCACACACTTAGACTGAGCAGGACTGCTTTGAGTTTAAATCTAGTTTGGCTCTTATAGTAAGTAAACTACCTATTAAAATACACAACTGAATCTTCGCCACCTCTGCCCTGCCACAGCTCCATTCCACAGCTGCCTGTTCCGTGTACCATGCTCCTATTTCCAGTTCCTTATGTTCTGCCATGGCTCCATTCACTTTTGTGATAAAGATCCATAAATATTTCATTTAATCATCAGAAACATTAAAACATCCAAAATTGAATGAACCATTTTCCAAACTCATCCTAGTATCATATTTTTCTAAGTTACTCAGACATAAACTTCCTAGTTCCATTCACCATCACCAAAGAGTCATTTCTACTTATGGATTTCATATTTAAATTTGCCTGGACCACTGAAAAAGCCTTTATTTGATCTTCCCATCTCCTGTTACCTGCTTAAGGTACCCTGTGTTACCTGTCATAAGGTCCCATATGACACAGTGTAACTGATCTCACTTAATCCTGTATTGTCTCTGTGTCCTTTACACACCTCATTTTTCTTATTTTGCATATTCTTATTGTAACTTTTATTTTTGGAGACTGCATCTTGTCATATAGCCTAGGCTGGCTCAATCTTAAATACATCTGCCTCAACCTCACAAGTATAAATGTTACATGCAAGCACTATCACACATAGCTTTTCTTAATGTTTCTCAAACACACCAACTCATCCTATCTCAGGCATTTATACTTACTTTTCTCTAACCAGGAATTCTCTCTCATGGCCCAAAACATCCTCACTGAAATCTCTGATCAAATGTTAATTCCTCTCAAAGATGGTATCACTTACTACCCTAACCCAAAACAGCCCTAAGGAAAGACATTACCTCTTTAACGGCTTTTCCCTTGATTTACTTTATTTTTCATTATCATAATTATCACTGTCTTGGGTTATATCATTTGCTTTTACATGTCTTTTTTTCCTGTAGTAGAATACATTTAATTTCAGTATCCCTAACATCTGAAACAATGCAAGTACTTAGTAAATAATATAGTACATGAAACAATCTATATGTCAGTATATTTAGTTTCCGTTAATAGGCTGCAAGCTATCCAAGGGTAGAATTTGTGTTATATTATCAGTTATATTCATAATATTTATGGAAGTGTTTCACAGAAAAAGGATTCCTAGTAGAATCCCCACTTTCCCTTTGAGCTCCAGCTGTCTTTTCTGCAGTTTTAAGCTTCTTCAGAAAAAGAGCCACCTTAAATGTGACACTCTCCACAAAAATGTCCCTGCCCATTTCCTATCTTTATTATGCTTTTCCCTCTTTGCAGTGGCTAGCAGTCCCGATCCAATTCTCAACTTCTAGCCCATATATCTCAAACCCAGACATTACAAGCTATTTCCAGTAATGAATAAATATACCCAAAACTAATTGTATAACTCTCCAAAACACAATTATCAACCCACAAAACTTGAATATCACCCTTAGTTCCTCTTTCCTCCACATGAAGGTAGGCAGGTAGGCAGGCATGCAGGATTCTCATTGTCCTTTACTTCCTAACTAACTCTCCAATATATTTACTTCTATCTTCTCAAACACCCATTTACCTACAGAATCCTATGTGCTCCATGATCTGACTATTGCTTATATTCTTTGCTATAACTTGTCAACACTTCCATCATTTCTCCTCATCAGACTTTCTAATCCTGTCATGCTAGATTATCCTCTTTTAATCCAACGAAGATTTACTTCAATTCGCTTTGCCTAATACACTCATTTTTTCTTTCTCCATGAAGCCTTCCCTGATACTTCACCTCTTCTATGATGGTCTGAGAGCAGCAAGTATTCAATCACATTATAAAATTGTTTGTGTGTTTATCTGTTTCTATAGTAGACTAAAAGTTCCATGAATCCAGAGACTGTTTAACTCATTAACCACAGCCTCCCCAGATCCTGCATAGCATCAAGTATATAAGTTCAATAAGCATTGTTTTAAAAGGATGAACAAAATCAATAAATAGGTGCATGATACACCAGACAAAAGCAAACTCTCTTAGGAAAATAGCATTTAGATTGAAAATATGTGAGAACAAATGCTATGCCAGGGAAATCACCTTTTCCCAAAGAACAAGAGGAAAAGAAGGCGATGGAAGACAAGGAAGAAGAAAAGAAGTAGTAGGAAAAGGAGGAGGTGAGAAGAAGAGGAGAAGGAAGAGGAAATGTTCATTCATTTAGGAACTTACACTCGTAATCTTTAGAGTTCCTATTGGGAGGGAAAGGGCTGGTAGGAAAGAGACAATCTGCACTATATATCCTTTTAATTGTACCATGTATTTAAAACCTATTTTAATTAGGGGGTTTGGTGTATATAGTCAGGCAAATAGGGGGATTGCCAGCATGTGACATCCTGGAACTACAAATAAAAAATAAAGTAAGCTTGATGTACTGGCACATGCCCTTCATCCCAGCAGACTTCAGCCTGGTCTACCAGCCAGGGTACATAATGAGACCCAATATATAATAAAAACACCACAATAATAATGTAAGCAAAATAAACCTGTTTTTACATTTTTATCAAATTGATCTGGTGGGTGGACAAGCTTCAAAGCAGGATGCTCTGTATCCTGACAGCTATAGTATTGAAAGTTCAGCTTGTTTAAAAAGGATGTAAGAGTCTCAGAAGAGTAGATTACCTATAAACTTAGCCAACAAGTAGAATTTGAGTGTGTTGATTGATCTCTGCTATGTGGATGAAGAGTGACAGTAATCCCTGAGGTTTGAAGGTAAAGACAGGACAGCCACCACAAGTTCAAGGCCAGCATGGTCTACACAGTGAATCAGAGAACAGCCAGGGCTATAGCCATAGCAAAACCCTGTCTCAGAAGAAACCAAAACACAGAAATAGGATAAAAATAAGTTTAGAAGTCTCAAAAAGGGGGTGTTTTAATCATTTTTTTTCTTTTTAGGTAATACGTTTCACTTTTGATTTAACGTTTACTGGACCCTACTCAGTCATGCACTAAGCGTAGAGAAAGAAAAACAGAACATCTCATCTTTCTCCTTCCTTTTATGAGTTCAATTAGTATCACCTGATCAGCAACTTTTGCTTCCCAGATTCTTCTCAAGGCTTCCAGGACTCCCATTTGGAAAGCCTGGCCCACAACTGTAGAGCCAGTCACTGGATCACAAGAGTGGCAGCTTCATTGGTAGTTCATTCACTAATGAACACATTGATAAATGGGCTATTAAAAGATATGGACTGAGCCAGGCATGGTGACACATGCCTTTAGTCTCAGCACTCAGGAGGCAGAGGCAGGTAGATCTCTGTGATTTTGAGGCCAGCCTGGTCTATAGCATGAATTCCAGGACAGCCAAGGTTACACAAGAAAGCCTGCCTTGAAAACAACAGCAACAAAAGGTATGGACTAATTGGAAAGAGTAAATCACTTAAAGGTGTGCCTTTGAAAGGTATACCTGTCCCTGGACCCTTCCATCACAGTCACTCTGCTTCATGCCCTCTTTAACACATGTTCTGCCTTGGCTCAGGACCAAAGCAATGGAGCTATCCATCACAGGGAGAAACCTCTAAGATCACAAGTTAAAATAAATTCTTCCTTCCTTGTCTCCATAGGTATTTTGCAGAGGTGAGCAAATTAACACAACTCTTCACATCTTAGGATCATTTTAAAAGGGTTGCAGAACTTTCAACACTGCTCCAGGAAAGGACCATCCTCTGGACTTTGAATACATGTATGCAAATAAGGACCACATGTCCTGATTCTGGATAGATGTATAACTTTCCCCAAATGGCGACTGTCAGTTTTTCTCTGCTCTTTCACTTACACTGTATTTTTACTAGCAAGGAGGAAGGTGCTCTGAACAGACGGATCCTGACTCTACTTACAAAGCTATGTATTTGATCTGCGCAGAATTTGTATTTGTAATTCGGACTTCTGGGGATGACCCTAAAGTCCTGCCCTGGATGAAAGTCCGAGGGTTGCTTGATTTGATCTGCGCAGAATTTGTAATTTATATTTGATCTGCGCAGAATTTGTAATTGAACCATAGGGTAAGCAGACTTGCGAGAACCTTGGTTCCACCCTGGATGAAAGTCCAAGGTTTGGTTGTAATTTTGGTTTGGGGCACCATTTCTTTGCCGCGGTTTGTCCTGTCTAATGTTTGTGCTGTCTAATGTGCTGTCATTTGTGTTATGTGTTTCTTAAGCATCTCTTTCTGTCCCACATTGCCCATGCACGTGGCATGCATGGGTCAGGGGGCCTTAAAGTTATTAAGGACTATAAAAGGGACTTTGACAAAATTTTTATGTTAACTAAAAAATAAAAAAAATATAAAAGACAAGTAATAAAGAGAAAAAAAAAGAAAATTTGTCTAAGAATGTCTAAGAAAGTCAGAGAAAAGTTAGAGGTCAGAGAAAAAGATTATTATAGAAGGTCAGAGGAAAGTTGTCGAAGGTCAGAGAAAAGGTTGTT